TATGGCCTTCCGAAGATGTAGCTGTCTGAGGGCATGACATGTGGCAGAAACCCTAGCCGCCTTAAGTCACGACGTGAACATGAAGTTCACGACGTGAAACGTGTCAGGGACACTAATCGTGGCTAGAAAACACGTGGTAAAGCTACGGGATGACTCATGGAAGTTCACGACGTGAACCTATCACGTTCACGACGTGAATGGGCCCAGAACAGCCTATAAATAGCAAGTTCAGCCCTTTCATTCCTTACACCAAATTCTTTTCTCTCTCTCTCGTTTGCTGAAGGCGTTTCGCATCCCGAGCCCGACGATCACGAACCACTGACCGTTTCTAGTTAGATTCTATCAACTCACGCTACAAGTGAGTGCATAGTTACTTTCATCTTACACATAGATATGAAGTATTTTATATAAATTACATGCTATGTGTGCATATTCTCTGTATACTTGTTATCTATGCTAGATGGACACTATTATATATGTTTTAAATGATTTAAACTGTATAAGTATTTTATACCTATAAATTACAATGGGTAAAGATGGGTAGTTCAAAGATGAGTTGGATGATGAGATGAAAGGTGATATAGATTATGAGATAAGGGTGAGAGGTGAGAAATGAGAGAAGCCTTTACCCAAACGTTGGCCCCGTCATCTAGCAGAGTATGGATGACAACCACGGACTATTCTAGACAGTCTAGTGGAACACTAACAGGCTCGCAACTTGTAGGTGTTGTGAACAATATGTTCATCTGGTGTACTCTAAAACCCCATTGAGATGTATTGCGAGAGGAGTCTCAAAAACGATACTGTCGGTAAACGAGATAAAAACCCATTGACATGTATTGCGAGAGGAGTCTCGAAAACGATACTGTCGATAAACGAGATAAAAACCCATTGACATGTATTGCGAGAGGAGTCTCGAAAACGATACTGTCGATAAACGAGATAAACCCTGGCAACTATGGATTTAGTACCTGTTGAGTAAACCCTGGAAACGATTGATTTCGTGCATATTCCTTAGATAACCATTAGGAATAAATGAAGGAGGAATAGTTGATTCTTAGGGTAGAATAAAGAAGATAATGGGGAAGGGTAATTGGGTTAATTCTTTGATGATTAAACATAATAATTATATTATTGTGGGTTAAAAACTCTATGTACTCACCAGGTTTCCAAACCTGACCCACTCAATATATTTGTATCACAGGTATCGATACGATGCTACATTACACTGAGAGACTAAAGGAGATTTAGATCACTAGTGTAAATAAATGTAAGTTCTGTTTATGCTTATGTTTTTCTGTATTAACGAAGACATCCCAATGTTTTAAAATGAATAAAATACATTTCTTCGGAAATGCTTTGATAACATGTTTATCATGTTTTTTTCTGGGAACAAATTCTGCAATATATTTCTTTAAAAATATACTTTGATTTTCAAATAAAGCATAAACAAATCGGTCTTTTCTGGCCATGAAATTGGGGATGTCACACTTATGATAGGTGTTTTAGGCACGTAATGTTAGGATAACGGGAACGGGTAATCGGGTTATTGTTGGTTGATGAAATTAATAAACTTATTTATTGTGGGTTGAAAACCATATGTGCTCACCAGGCTCCCAAGCCTGACCCACTCAGTTTTTTGTATTACAAGTAGTGGCACTCGATCATAGATGTGATGTTTGGGATGAGGGATTACGGTTATAGGCCTGTAGATATGAATAAATGTTGTAAGGCTTATATTGTACTGTTTATGCTTTTGATCTGTATCGAACATGATATCCCACTGTTTTTAATGAAATACATTTCTTCGGAAAATGCTTTGATAAATCTTTATCATGTTACTCTGATTTTCAAACAAAGCATAAATAAAATCGGTCTTTTTTGGCCGTGAAAATGGGGATGTCACAAAATTAAAATCAAACAAATAATTTAAATAAAGAAAAGAAACTAATAAACTTTAATTTTGAGAATTTTGAAATTAAAAGGCAAGTTTATTAATGAAATTAAATTTATTGGTACATTTATTACAATTATTACACCTACAAGTTATATATAATTGAAATCGGAACCAAACAAGGAACAGGAAATAAGACGGAAGTCACACATTCCACTGTCTATCGGTTAAAAACTATATATAACCCTGATGTATATACAAAGTAATCATATAATTATTGTTCCTCAAGCTTGATTGAGAAGCATATTACTACGTAAATGAGTCGTTATTTTCTCCATGTGAGTTCTTATAACCATACTAATATGACGGATATCCAGACAGTTAAAGTAGTACAACGATAAAATCAAGCATGCAAAGTATGATCGACTGTCGATGGTTTGAATAACCTAGTTATTCGGGAAGTCAAAATATGCAAAGTGTAACACAAGAATAATACTAATCTTATATGGCCCCAAAACTTTTGAGTGTAAATAAAACACCTTTTATCTAAGCACCATATTGATTACTCATTATTCATGTATAATGTTTCGGATAATAAACTTAATACTTGAATTAAAACAATAGCTATGTCATGCTCCAAGCATGCACATTATGTTTACCTATGGTCCTTTCTTTGTGAAATAGATCAATTGACAACATTTCAATGATGCTTATTTCACAATTCCAAATCCTTATTGTAAATGTAAGAATACCAAAATCTTGCCATTTACTGTAATATGTAAGTTTCTAAACTTACATGCAATGATCCTCTTGTAATGACTATGTACAAAAGTCACAGAGACTTGGCCACATACATTACATAGTATTCCAATGGAGAGCAATTCCATGGAACCGAAGTCTCACATTCAAAGTGCATTCCTTTGAACATCCTTCTTGCATTAAGTTCTCTAATCTTACACATATTTAATGTATAACTTCCACTTATGAAACATTTCCATATTCCCATTTTGACTATCACTTCTGACTTAGTAGTTGTGAAGGATCTAAATTTGACAAATATACGAACCAAAGTGACAAAACGTGTTTAACGATATCGTTAACTGGTTAAATGTCGCGAAATTATACATTGGTCAATAAATTTTATATTTAAATAAATAAAAATATAAAATGAATTATTATAAGGCCTAATTAGAATTTATTTATGTGTTTTTGAATAAAAAGAATAAAACATAAACATTTAAGTTCAAATACACAAAAACTACATTGTTATTTTGTACTAAGAATACATGTATGTATTTGTACATATGTATTATTATCTAGTGGATGACTAGTTATGGGTCATGACTTAAAGTGATTTTATGTAAGGAATATTGTGTCTAAATCAATTAAGATAAGAGAAATGGTTGAGATAAATGCCAACTTAACTAATAAGTGCTTAATCACTTAAGACATTTTACTAAGAATGCTTCTTAATGCCTCTTCTAATTTTCGAGATTAAGACCTTCCCTCCCCATAACTAGAACTTATAACTAACTAACTAACTAGTAGTTAGTTAGTTAACTAACCCTATCTCTAAGCAACCACCCAAGCAAGTGGCTAGGCAAGATCACATCACATAACTTCCCATCCCATCACAAGCTAGTCTAGGTTTTGTCCCCTTATCCTCTTCCACTCTTTCCTCCTTCATATCCACGAAATCTCCTCTTTATTTTACCCTCATTTGACCAGCCAATACTCCAGGGAATTACTCTCAACCTTCATCTCATTTTCAGCCACAAGAACTTCCTTCCAAAGCCATCAAAACCGTGAACTAAAGGGCTGCGGTCCCTTTTGTGTTTCAGCCACCATTTCACCCATCTACACCTTCCTTTTGCTCGATATTCTTCCCACCAAATACCCCTGGAAGTTAGTTGTTATGCTACTCCAAATTTGAGATTCACAACAGTGAGTAAACTACATTTTTCTTACCCTTTTGCTGTGAAAATTTCGTGACAGCAACATAGCCAAAACAGTGGCCGTTTTGGAGCATCAAACAAACACCCAAAAGTTCTTCATCTTTCTGCCCATTTTCGAGATTTAAAGTATACCATATGTAGCTACTTTCAAACACTTAAAACCCCTGAGAAAGTTACCCTTTACCTCTCAAAAAGCTTGTGTTATTCCACCACCTTTTGGCAACATACTTTTGATCCAAGTTGAAGCTAGACATCCAAAAGAATACTCGAATCACAAACTTGAGTGGAACCAGAAACCGCACGAACCATTCTCAACCCGAATAACTCTACGCGACAAAAGTGAGTTTTATACGACCCCTCTTTTACGTTTTACAAGTTTTGGGGGAGAATACACACTAAACAAATTGTAGTTGAAAGATTTAAAGGCTTTGCTTAATTAGTGTACCTTAGTTATCTTAATAGGTATTGCTTAATTTGAATTTTTAAATGGCGCTATAAACCATTATTCTATACTAACAACATGTTTTGAATATTAGATTATCAATCTTCATAGCTAAGTAAAATGTATTCACAAATTAGATTTGATACAAAATTCATTGTGCACTTCAACAACTTAACTTTAGAGGTATTAAAGTAGGTATTGCATAATTTGATTTGTTAAATGACGCTATTTAGTTTTCATTTATATATATATATATATATATATATATATATATTATCTATATATATATATATATATATATATATGTTCTAGGGTTTGAAATTTAAATAATTCAAATTAAACTTTTAATCAAAAATTAAAATTTCAAAACTTGAGGGCAAGTTTTGAACTTTTTCAAAACACATAAGATCAAATAGCTCTCTTTCTCTCTCTCTCTCTCTCTCTCTCTCTCACACACAATCGTTTTTCTTGTTCTTGAAAATACACAAGTTCTTCAACACATACACACATAAAGGAAAATGATTCACATGGGTTCATATTTTTGGGTAGGATCTATTTTTTGTTTTTGGAAATCAATTCACATGTTCACATGGAAATCAATTCACAGGTTTGCACTTTAACACATACTGACACACACACGAATAATCAAAAGGGGGTGCGTCTTTATCTGATAAGGGGAAAAGGAAATGAATCAACAGCAACGATGGTATCAGAGTGGCTGATGAAATCGTGAGGAGGGGCGGACGTCGATCTCCGACAACGATTCGCGAAGGAAAAGAGGCGGAGGCGACGACATTCGTATGTGGTGGTGAGGGAGGCTGCTTCGGCGGCTTCCCTTGGCTGTTTTTCTGATCCGACGAAAATCACGAACGAAAATGGCAGAAGGAGCGGCGATTCTCAGGTGGTGCTTGGGTTGTTCTGTTCGACAAGGAGGAGGAGTCGAGTCCTCGTTGCCGGCAACAAATAGGGGGGGGGGGAAGTAAAGGCTGTAATGGCAGACGAATCCAGTGGGGCGTCAGTGGTGCTTGCTCGACGAAAGGAAAAGACGGGGTAGAGGTGGCAGTTGGCGTCTCCGACGAGCCATTCGTGGCTCGTTCTTCGTCTTTGACATCTTTCGGAGCGAATGAGAAAGTATCCGTGTAGAAGAGGGTGTTGAGGTTATTACTTGACAAGAGAAAGAGGTGGAGGAGGGTTGTGGAGGGCTGCTGCAATTTTCCGGCAGCCGGTTTCCACCTCCGGTGGTGGTTCAACGAGAGAGAGAGAGAGGGCCCTCTCTTTATTTATTAATTATTAAAATAGATAAATATATATTAAATTAGAAAAATGAAAGAAAAATAAAAAAATAACTACACGAGGGGCATTAAAGTCATTTCAGTTTACCGAGGGACCAAATCCGTAACAAAACTAGCTCAAAAGGACCACTAATCTAAAAAAGTCGTGGTTTGGACTAAAACCCCAAAAAAATACATACCACAGAGACCGGTTTTGCAATTTTGTCTAATCAAAAAGGTGTAAACTAAAAGTACATTGCTATTTTGCACATTTACCACCGAAATATGAAAAAATACAACAAATAGCAATGAACTTTAGTTTTTGGTATAAAAAATCAAATAAATTGAAAAAAAACAAAAAGGTGTAAATTCAAAGTACATTGCTATTTAGTGCATTTACCACCTAAATATGGAAAATGCACCAAATGGAAATGCAATTTGTTTTTTGGTAAATAAATCAAAAGAAATTGAAAAAAAAAACATAAACAAAAAGGTGTAAATTAAAAGTACATTGCTATTTATGATGACTCTGTTATAACCCGGGATCTAAACCTCGTGACAGGACCAGTGCTAGTGCTTGAAGAAGCCGTGAACTTCCCTGTAACCCAGCCTCCTGTTTGCAGGAGACTAAACTAAGCTATAAACCTAATACTACACTATTGATTATTTTCAAATTCCAGCATATCTTATTTCATGAATGACTACCCTTTAAATAGGGATAAACAAAAGACTCAATTCAGGAAACAAATACTCTAAAATCAACTTAAATAATAAAAGATCCTAATTACCAAAATTAAAAACGGAAACAAGATAACTTCCTAGAATATAAAATACTTATTATCTATTAACTTGCAGACTTATAAAGTATGATGCATAACATTACTCCCTTCCTTTGCATTAAGCTTGTCAAAACCTGGGTATGCGTTGGTCAAAACAGCACGATCATCCCAAGTAACATTTTCTTCATCTTCCAACATGATACCAAACAGTTTCGCACACTTATGGCCGATTGAAAACATTTCATCACAGTTAAAACATAATCCTTTTGCTCGCCTTTCTGCCATCTCTGTAGTTGTAAGCCGTTTCAAAGTCGGGTTCTGCACTTCGGATTTCACTGTTCCGGCTCCACCATTTGCTGCTGACTCTCGGTTTTTGCTTCATGCCGAGGGTTGATTCCCAGTTAATAGAGGTGCTCCAAAACTCCTTGGTCGGCCCTCCTCCGCGAGTTTGAACTCAATTTGTCTAGCTAGGTTAATAGCATAGTATAGTGTGGTGGGTCTAGCAAACTCTATTTCGTAACGGATAGCATTAGTCAAACCTACACAAAAATGCCAAACACTTTACTCTGGAGTCACGCTTGTCGTCCTCCCCAGTAGTGACTCAAAGCCCTCACAATAGTCTTCCACTGTATCTGTTTGTCTTAGTCGCGTTAATTCACCCAATGGATTCATGCTCATTGGGGGTCCAAATCTGATTTTGCACTCTTCAGAGAACTCGAACCAGTTCAAGCGGGTCTGAATTCTCCGTAGGTTATGGTACCACCCACTAGCCCGACCTTGTAGTGAAAAAGTGGTCTGCCTAACCCAAGCGTTCGTGGGGTTCTGTTGCTCTTCGAAGAAGTCTTCACATCTTTGAAGCCATTCGACTAGATTCCCCTTTCCATCATATGTCGGAAACTCCATCTTGGCAAATCTTGGTACTCTACCCCCTCGGTATCCAGTATCTTCTGTCTCTTCCCAATCTTTTGGTGACCCTTGATCCCTGCAGTTTGACCACTCTGGTTTTAGGGGTTCCCAATTGTGCTTGAAAGGCTGAGGTTCACCTGTTCGCCATGATTCAAAACCCTTGCCAGTTCCTCGTCCCGCTCCTTCCTGGGTCCATCCTTTACCTCTCCCAACCAACCCTCCTTGGAACGAAAATTTACTGTTTGGATTTGTTCCGAAGGTGGTGCCACGTCCTATTCCACGCCCCTGTACCACTGGGTCATCAAAACGCTCCATCTTGAAGACCTTGTCCACACTTTCGTTGTCTTCTCCTTGTTCAATGGTTTTGTTTTGGCTTAGGGATTGCAATCTTTCTTCCATCGTTGCTTGCTTGGTCTGCAAGGCTGACATAGCTTCCTTCAAATCGTTGTTGCTTTGTGTTTGCTGGATCATGAATGCTTCCAACTTCTTCATTAGTTCTTCCTGTTGTGTCGACATCACGAGCGGCTCTGATACCAAATTTGTTATGACCCGGGATCTAGACCTCGTGACAGGACCAGTGCTAGTGCTTGAAGAAGCCGTGAACTTCCCTGTAACCTAGCCTCCTGTTTGCAGGAGACTAAACTAAGCTATAAACCTAATATTACTCTATTGATTATTTTCAAATTCCAGCATATCTTATTTCATGAATGACTACCCTTTAAATAGGGATAAACATAAGACTCAATTCAGGAAACAAATACTCTAAAATCAACTTAAATAATAAAAGATCCTGATTACCAAAATTAAAAATGGAAACAAGATAACTTCCTAGAATATAAAATACTTATTATCTATTAACTTGCAGACTTATCAAGTATCATGCATAACATTACTCCCTTCCTTTGCATTGAGCTTGTCCGCAAGCTCAAAACCTGGGTATGCATTGGTCAAAACAGCACGATCATCCCAAGTAACATTTTCTTCTTCCTACAACATGACACCAAACAGTTTCACACACTTATGGCCGATTGAAAACATTTCATCACAGTTAAAACATAATCCTTTTTCTCGCCTTTCTGCCATCTCTGTAGCTGTAAGTTGTTTCAAAGCCGGGTTCCGCACTTCGGATTTCACTGTTCCGGCTCCACCATTTGCTGCTGACTCTCGGTTTTTGCTTCCTGCCGAGGGTTGATTCCCAGTTAATAGAGGTGCTCCAAAACTCCTTAGTCGGCCCTCCTCTGCGAGTTTGAACTCAATATGTCTAGCTAGGTTCATAGCATAGTATAGTGTGGTGGGTCTAGCAAACTCTACTTCGTAACGGATATCATTAGTCAAACCTGCACAAAAATGCCAAACACTTTGCTCTGGAGTCACGCTTGCCGTCCTCCCCAGTAGCGACTCAAAGCCCTCACAATAGTCTTCCACTGTATCTGTTTGTCTTAGTCGCGTTAATTCACCCAATGGATTCATTCTCATTGGGGGTCCAAATCTGATTTTGCACTCTTCAGAGAACTCGAACCAGTTCAAGCAAGTCTTCATTCTTCGTAGGTTATGGTACCACCCACTAGCCCGACCTTATAGTGAAAAAGTGGCCTGCCTAACCCAAGCTTCCGTGGGGGTCTGTTTCTCTTTGAAGAAGTCTTCACATCTTTGAAGCCATACGACTGGATTCCCCTTTCCATCATATGTCGGAAACTCCATGTTGGCAAATCTTGGTACTCTACCCCCTCGGTATCCAGTATCTTCTGTCTCTTCCCAATCTTTTGGTGACCCTTGATCCCTGCAGTTTGACCACTCTGGTTTTAGGGGTTCCCAATTGTGCTTGAAAGGCTGAGGTTCACCTGTTCGCCATGATTCAAAACCCTTGCCAGTTCCTCGTCCCGCTCCTTCCTGGGTCCATCCTTTACCTCTCCCAACCAACCCTCCTTGGAACGAAAATTTACTGTTTGGATTTGTTCCGAAGGTGGTGCCACGTCCTATTCCACGCCCCTGTACCACTGGGTCATCAAAACGCTCCATCTTGAAGACCTTGTCCACACTTTCGTTGTCTTCTCCTTGTTCAATGGTTTTGTTTTGGCTTAGGGATTGCAATCTTTCTTCCATCGTTGCTTGCTTGGTCTGCAAGGCTGACATAGCTTCCTTCAAATCGTTGTTGCTTTGTGTTTGCTGGATCATGAATGCTTCCAACTTCTTCATTAGTTCTTCCTGTTGTGTCGACATCACGAGCGGCTCTGATACCAAATTTGTTATGACCCGGGATCTAGACCTCGTGACAGGACCAGTGCTAGTGCTTGAAGAAGCCGTGAACTTCCCTGTAACCTAGCCTCCTATTTGCAGGAGACTAAACTAAGCTATAAACCTAATATTACTCTATTGATTATTTTCAAATTCCAGCATATCTTATTTCATGAATGACTACCCTTTAAATAGGGATAAACATAAGACTCAATTCAGGAAACAAATACTCTAAAATCAACTTAAATAATAAAAAGATCCTAATTACCAAAATTAAGAACGGAAACAAGATAACTTCCTAGAATATAAAATACTTATTATCTATTAACTTGCAGACTTATCAAGTATGATGCATAACATTACTCCCTTCCTTTGCATTGAGCTTGTCCGCAAGCTCAAAACCTGGGTATGCGTTGGTCAAAACAACACGATCATCCCAAGTAACATTTTCTTCTTCCTACAACATGACACCAAACAGTTTCACACACTTATGGCCGATTGAAAACATTTCATCACAGTTAAAACATAATCCTTTTTCTCGCCTTTCTGCCATCTCTGTAGCTGTAAGTCGTTTCAAAGCCGGGTTCCGCACTTCGGATTTCACTGTTCCGGCTCCACCATTTGCTGCTGACTCTCGGTTTTTGCTTCCTGCCGAGGGTTGATTCCCAGTTAATAGAGGTGCTCCAAAACTCCTTGGTCGGCCCTCCTCCGCGAGTTTGAACTCAATATGTCTAGCTAGGTTCATAGCATAGTATAGTGTGGTAGGTCTAGCAAACTCTACTTCGTAACGGATATCATTAGTCAAACCTGCACAAAAATGCCAAACACTTTGCTCTGGAGTCACGCTTGCCGTCCTCCCCAGTAGCGACTCAAAGCCCTCACAATAGTCTTCCACTGTATCTGTTTGTCTTAGTCGTGTTAATTCACCCAATGGATTCATTCTCATTGGGGGTCCAAATCTGATTTTGCACTCTTCAGAGAACTCGAACCAGTTCAAGCGAGTCTTCATTCTTCGTAGGTTATGGTACCACCCACTAGCCCGACCTTGTAGTGAAAAAGTGGCCTGCCTAACCCAAGCTTCCGTGGGGTTCTGTTTCTCTTCGAAGAAGTCTTCACATCTTTGAAGCCATTCGACTGGATTCCCCTTTCCATCATATGTCGGAAACTCCATCTTGGAAAATCTTAGTACTCTACCCCCTCGGTATCCAGTATCTTCTGTCTCTTCCCAATCTTTTGGTGACCCTTGATCCCTGCGGTTTGACCACTCTGGTTTTAGGGGTTCCCAATTATGCTTGAAAGGCTGAGGTTCACCTGTTCGCCATGATTCAAAACCCTTGCCAGTTCCTCGTCCCGCTCCTTCCTGGGTCCATCCTTTACCTCTTCCAACCAACCCTCCTTGGAACGAAAATTTACTGTTTGGATTTGTTCTGAAGGTGATGCCACGTCCTCTTCCATGCCACTGTACCACTGGGTCATCAAAACGCTCCATCTTGAAGACCTTGTCCACACTTTCGTTGTCTTCTCCCTGTTCAATGGTTTTGTTTTGGCTTAGGGATTGCAATCTTTCTTCCATCGTTGCTTGCTTGGTCTACAAGGCTGACATAGCTGCCTTCAAATCGTTGTTGCTTTGTGTTTGCTGGATCATGAATGCTTCCAACTTCTTCATTAGTTCTTCCTGTTGTGTCGACATCACGAGCGGCTCTGATACCAAATTTGTTATGACCCGGGATCTAGACCTCGTGACAGGACCAGTGCTAGTGCTTGAAGAAGCCGTGAACTTCCCTGTAACCTAGCCTCCTGTTTGCAGGAGACTAAACTAAGCTATAAACCTAATATTACTCTATTGATTATTTTCAAATTCCAGCATATCTTATTTCATGAATGACTACCCTTTAAATAGGGATAAACAAAAGACTCAATTCAGGAAACAAATACTCTAAAATCAACTTAAATAATAAAAGATCCTAATTACCAAAATTAAGAACGGAAACAAGATAACTTCCTAGAATATAAAATACTTATTATCTATTAACTTGCAGACTTATCAAGTATGATGCATAACAGACTCGAGCTCCAGAAGCAAGCCTGTTAGGAAGAAGTTAAATACAAATTCATGTTTTCAACATCATGAACATAGTTTTTGTTGAATTAAAACAAATTAAAACTTAACTTTCTTCTATTTTTATCACATTCTCCTTATTCTCTCTTAATGATACCATTCTCTTGGATTGTTTTACTTTAAAGATTATGATATAATGCTTTTATAGTCATATTTGCCAACTTTTAGCTTGCCAAAATGGCTTCTTATTCCTAAAATGCCCTTTTTACCTTGCTATAAGTGGCATGGAACAAAATGTTTTTTATCATCAAAACTATACATTTAAGTTACAAAGGAATATCATTTTAATAAATAAACATGGAAAAGTTAGAATAAAAGTTGATTCTCACTTAGTTGATACATATTTCAATGTTGGTCCTAATTGACCCTTTGAAGGATTGATTATCTCTCTTATCCTTCTTGATCTGCATTTATTTACAAAGTAAAAGAAAGGAAATATATTTATATACATAAAAGATTGTAATCAGGTGAGCTTTTGACTCAAAAACCAAATGACAATGTACTTTGGGAAAACTACCCAATTATTACATTGCACTTTCTTTTTTATTTGAATTACATAAACCTTGGATTCTCCCGTAAACAGTAAAAAAAAGTAAATAACAATATTATTGACTGGTAAAGTAATATGGAATGATAAGTGTTTAATATTGAAAAAATATATTAAGCTATAATAAAAAGCAATACCAATTGTAGCCAAACATTTTTTTTTCTTTCTGTTTTTTCCTCTTTGGTCAATTTTTGCTTAAATCCAAATTCTTGAGTTTCCAATTCTCTCTCTTTTCTTTGTGCCACAAGTTGTTGTTGAAAGCTATAAAAGTGTATATAAAGTAAATTGTGGTTATGAATAAAAGATAAAATGTATTGCCTATATTGATAAAAAGATAAAAGCACGTTGCTATTTCACAGGATTTACACAATTGTATTCTATAAAGAGAAACGGAGATCGTAATATACGAAAAGCATAAATTCTAGACATGAAACTCATAAGGCCTTATATACATCAACTCATTTGTAGCATGGTAAATAACAAAAAGTCAACTAACTTAATATTGAAGAACATGGAAAGAAAACTTGTTGGTGAGTTCTTTTCATTGATTTCACCACCCTAGAGGAACCATGAGTGCACCTGAAGACCCCAGAACGTATGCTTTGTTGATAGCAGTTCTAAAGAAATCCCACTTGAAAGTGTGAATCTACATCATTCAAAACATGTTATTTGAATATCAATATATAAGGATAACATTTGACTGATGATATTTCCTAACAAAACGTAGAGATTATAGATATAATACATCCCTAGAAGGGTGTTTCCTTGTGAGGTTGTGATTGTATCTGATAAATTCCAAAATTCATATAGAAAACTCAGATAGAACGTAAACATGTTGAAAATCAGAAAGTAAACAACATATACCACAATATCTCATTTTGAATACAGAAACATAAATCAATCTAAAAATCAAACACAATTTCATAATCTAAAAACTGATTTATGTATATCATAGTACACCAAAAAAATAAAAGATTGGTAAAGATTGAACAAACCGGGCCTGCAACGAAGATTGCATCATATTCCTTCACCGTCCCCTTAATGGAGTCCATCGGAAACCCTAATCTCCAACACATTCAAATAAAATGAATAAATCAGAAGTAATGATAAGGTAGAGAAAGTGATTTGTTTCGGTCAATTTTAGGTCTCCGAAGAAGAGAAAAAAAAAAGAGTTTAGGGCTTTTTTGTGGAGCCTCGATTTCTATAGTGGGTAGGCGACGATGACGGAGGTGATAGGAGAGGTCTTTGCCGATAATTCTCAGTGAAAGAGGGAGCATCAGAGCTATTTTAGCCAAAGACGTCTCGTTGTGAGCGACGGAGATGGAAGCAATTGTGATGCTATGGTGGCCGACATAAGAAGGTACGGCTGATGCCTGATGGTGGTAGCATAAGAGAGAAGACGAAGAGTGAATGTGAGAAGATGGAAAGAAGTGGAACAAAGGCGTCACAGAAGTAGAGATAATCGATCTCTTTGAGTTGGTGGTGATAAAGATGAAGGCAAATATCGACACAGGGACAAAAACTGGCAAACCCTCAAAATACCGTGGTAAAATTCTTAGGAACAAAAACAATACTATTCATAACGTTTTCCTTGTATATATTAATTAATTAAGTATTAATCATAATTAATTTGAAATTAATTATGGGTTAATTAGAATTAATTAAGAGTGCAAGGGTTGAACTGTAATTGATCAAAAGTTGAACAAGAGAAGGATTCTAAAAGCCTCTATATAGGACCGGTTTTTGGAGAAGCCTATTAGGGTTCTAGAATATTCCTTTAGATAATAAGAACTATATAATTACCTGAATTTGAAATATTATGATATGTTAAAATAAGGGTTTCTAGGGTTTCTTGAGGAGCTATGAATAGGACCCTTTAGCCCATCTTTTTCGGCCACTCTTGGATACCAAAGGATAGCTGAAATTTGCATTCTCTCATCCTCTCTCCTATTGTCTTCTAGTTTCTCTGGTTTGGGTACAAGCCATTAGACGCATCATTCTTTTGGTGCTAAGCTTTCCAAGACCAACAACTACAAGGGATTGAAGTGATCTCTTTCCTATATCAAATCAAAGGTATTTAACCTGAGATCTACTAATTTCGATAATAGTAGGGTTCTTTTAGGGTTCCTTATGTTTATTGTATGTTTCCTTCAAAGTGTTATAACATAGAACCTTATAGGTTTCATGCACCCTTTAAATGTTAAATAATTTTCCGCATGTACATGTATTTTTCGTAGCCTATAAAACCCATCACTTTCTCCATTCTACCAATAACGTGTGTATCTGGACTCGTTATGTATCATCGTTTCATTGTCAACA